CTTCTTTTTTTCATTTAAAAAACCTCTTTTACCCCTTACTTTTTCATATCCTACCTATATATCACATCATACCTTTTTACTAATAATCTACATATCACATCTTACTTTTACACATCACATCAGGGGTATTTTGGAAAGTCAATACTAAAATATTTCTCCCTTAAATCCTTAAAAAGTAAAAAACGAAAGTTTAATTATTTAGGGACGGAGGGAGTATATTTTTTCCCGAAAATATAAGCTTATTAATAAAAAATGTACAAATTATTCACGTAGTGGACATTGAATTTATCGGTCTAAACTTATTAATCCGAGTATCAATTGTAAATCTATTTTCTTTAGCAAAGAAAAATGAATATATAACACCAATCACAAACAATATTTCTAAACGAAACTAAAAAGTGTTTATTAGAGTTACAACTCAAATCACATTTTTTCCGTTTGCATCCTTTTTGGATTTTTCGCCTCATTAAAAAAATTGTTACATTTGGACGTTACAACGTTGCATGCAAGTAATTAACTAAAATAGTACTCCATAATCGGCATATTTACGGATTTACCATTATTCCTATATATGAAAGTCACATCATTTTAAAACTTTATTTATAGTTCATATGTTGTTGTTATTATATATAAATATATAATCTGAGTTATTAAGGGGGGAAAACTCATCATTCTTATTTCCAAGTTACTATTGCCCATTTTTGTAAAATCAAATTAGACTGTGTATATATGTATGTAGTATTTTTTTTCAAATGAACATCAACCAGTCCATACAAAAATAGTTACCTCACATTATTTGTTTATATATTAAAAGGGTATATGGGTCATTGTTGATAGAGTAGGACTAATTTTAACAAAGTACATGTATGTTACAAAAATGAATGGAATCAGAATCACTGGACAATAAAAAGAAAGTAATCAACCTAAACAAAATTAGCAAGAAAAAAGAATACTATGAAATGTAACTCCCTTTGTCCCAAAAACCTTTTTTTCTTTCTTTTTTCTTGTCCAACAAATCTTTCCTATTTCTATTAAAAGATTATTTTTACTCCTAATACTTATTAATCTACCTATTATATCATATTTTTTAACTAATAATTTACCCATTACATCCTATTTTTACTCATCACATCTAGAATATTTTTTAATAGTCAATACAAAATTATCTCTCTTAAATTTTCTATAAGTCAAAATGAGAACATCTTTATAGAACAAATTAGAGAAAGCATAATTATATTATGATGATCTTATGTAATAGTTTTAGCCTCTCCTAATTAGTGAAGCATAAAATTGGCCATCAATTAAGATACTCAAAAAATAAGTACAATAAATTATGATATCAAAGTACACAAACATACATACATATGCTCTTTGCGCTATAAGAAATTATTTATTTCAATTTCCTTTTCAGATTGTTTTATACTCCGCGATGAACTTCATATTATATATATATAAAGGAAAAGAATTAAATGATCACATTCTTTTAATTTTCTTTACACTGCATGGTCTCGCTGTTGTCATAATTTTATTTATTCGTAAACTATATAAAAAGGTAAAGGCAAGATATAAAAACACAATTTTCAGTGAGATGGTTTTTTTGAGAGAGGAAGTATTTGGTATAATCCCATTTCACATGGTTATTATGTTATTAGTTGATCCAAATTAAAGAGTTGCACAAATACTTCTTTACGTTTCTTTTAATGGCAATCATTACTTTTTTTCCCTCATTATTTACTAAAATAAAAATATTCATGAAATTTTTGCTTCGTAGAAGTTTTGAAATACCATTCAAAGATAAAAATCAATTTTAAAAAATGACATCAAGTTTTTAAAAATATAAATTAAAGATAATATGGAGTACCAATTAAATAAAGTAAAAAAGTATTGAATGAAAAAATGGGATTATTATTATTAATAATTATTATTACGTATGTTGTGTTTTTAGACATAAATATATAGTGACAAAGAGGGTGCAGTAAGGCGTGTCGATGACAATGCAAATGCAGAAAAGGCGCATGGAACGTTGACATTCCACGACTAGATGACAATTTACCACTCTCTCCTCGGAATTTGTGCGTGACCATTGTAATGACCCACCCAGAGACCGGTTTTGAACCCGGTTCAGACCAGAAAAGTTTTTCAAGTTTATGAGATTTATAGACCACTCTCTCCTCGGTTCAGACCAGAAAAGTAGATTAGATCCCGGCCCGTGTACCCATTCCCCTTGCAAAAATCTGCTTGTAAAATGATGGGTTTGAGTTTGGTATTTTGAGATGCGGGCCGCGCTCGGGCTTTAAAAATATAGGCTCACATAATTGAGCACCGGGCTCGACTTTTATGTATTCAAGCCCGCAAGTCGGCCCTTTTTGAAATAATAATAATAATAATTACTACTCGGTACAATAATTATAAAATAATACTCCCTCCGTCCCAAATTATAATGCATGTTTACTATTCACATGGTCAAACTTCATTCACTTTCTTTATCTATTTTCGTTACCAATTTGATAAAATAAAATATTATTGTCACTACTAGTTTTGTAGATCTTTTGATTTAGTTTTTTTAATATGTAATTTTGATTTTTTAATTCTATATCATTTGTCATATAAAATGGTTTGAAAATAATTTCAGTCAAACATCGTAAACCGAAACAGGCGTTATAAATTGGGACGGAGGTAGTAATAACAACAACAAAAACACTATGTATTACGGAGCATTACTCCTACTGTCCATTCGTCTAATTACGCATTAAGATGCTTAAGCGACTCAATTTTTAATTCAATTTAATTAATAATATGTCCAAAATTATATATTTAAAACTACATTAGAAGATATACTACATTCGTCTTAGTGTTTTAGTCCATTTTTATTTTTTAGTAAAAAAAATGGTTCAAATGTCTCTTTTACCTTTACTTTGTATTCTTTTGGTCGCAAGTGATTCAAAAAAATTTAGAAAAAAAATAAAAATACTTAATTTAAGACAAATGAAGTATATTTTAAATTTTTAATTTCAAACACCAATAATTTTTTTAAAATCATTTTTAAAAACATAGCTTAAAAAAATATTTTCATTATTTCAAACACAATCATTTTTTTTCTCTTTAAGAAAAAATAAAAAAAGATAATAAGAAAAATAGAGAGGGAATGTTCGTGCACATTTACAAAATCATAGGAGGCAATAGAGCTATTTATTTAATATTTAAAGAGTATTTTAATCAAGAAGACACTGACGTAAGAGAAATATACTCCCTCCGTCCCAAATTATTTGCAACGTTTGTTTTTTCAGCAGTCGTGAGAACTTTTGTTTATTTCTACGTTTTCGTTGGTTATTTGATAAAATAAAATATTCTTGACACTTCTTATTTCGAAGAACTTTTCATGTAGTTTTTTGGTATGTAAATTTTTTTTTTTATTTCTATACCAATATGTGAATAAAATGAATTAAAAAAACTTAATCTTTTATCTCAAGAATACAAGTGTAGCAAATATTTAAAGACGGAGGGAGTAAGAGACAAATACGTAAATTTTAAAACAACGAGGTAATGATGCATATTTAACAAACGATAGGGTAATAATGATAGAATAAAGTCATATTTTGAAGAACCCTTACCTTGTTCCCGTCTAACCGTATACATGCCTGTAGCGCGGGAGATTGAACCAGCTTTCCCATATTTCGCGCTGTTCAATCTCGGGTCTCTCTCTCCACTCTTACCTCTTCTTCTACTCTCTCACTTTGCGTATGAATTTGACATTTCGTCTGAAAACTCAAGTTCAAGGTTTTTATGATATCTCTCTGATCTCCTTTTACAATTTCAAATCACTTGCCATTTTTCCGTTTTTCGTCTGAATAAAAAAGCATCGAATCTAGTTTGCGATTCTTCAAGTTCATGTTAAGGCGCGCATTGCTTCAATATGGCTGGTGCGGAGATGCGATGTGTTTGACATCGAACTGTTTTTTCTAGATAATCTGTAGATTTCTGTTGCGATTTGTACTCTTTTGTTTCCAATAATTTGTAATATGGTATTGAATTATTTTCACGTTTCTAGCAGATTAATTTGCTTCAGCACAAGCAAAGTTCTCTCGCTAACATCAGTTGTTTGAATTTGAGGCAAGGAATCCTATTTTGCATAATTTGGTGATTTTCCTTAGATGTGATTGATTTTCTCATTTACCTGTAATTTCTAATCTCATTTACCTGATATATCTCTGTTTGCAGCTATACTGCGTATTGCTGCTTTTAATTTCTCTGTTTCTAACTGATAGCTCTCAAATTCGAGTTGATGGATTGATTGTTTCTCTTCTTCTTCATATTTTGCTGATGTGATAAAGACACACTACTTTGACTATGCTTTTTAGTGAGAAATGTTATTTACTAAACACCTGATCTCTCTGTTTGTGTGTCTAGTTTTCACCTATTTGTTTGCCATCCTAAAATAAGATTAATCGTATTGCTCTATTTCCCTAGAATTTATTTTGATTCCGACATATTGAAATTCTTACTTGCTCTGTCACTAATTGATGAGATTAGTTACAGTTGGAATTCAACTTAAAATCTCGGCAACATGTTTGCTTGTTTGTCAACATAATTGGCTTGTTTTTTTCTTTTTTTACCCATAGGGAAATGGAGGATCAAGCAAAGTACATTGTGGATGAAGTTCGTAAGGCATTGGATGAGAACAGTAGATTCATCATTGTTGGGCCCCCACTGCAAATAAATGGAAAGAAAATAAAAGAGAGCACACAAATTTTTAACGTGGTTCGGCACCTCAAGACCTACTCCACGACCCCCTCTTGGATAAAATCTCACTAGTAATTTTTGCACGGAAAAATTACAAACCCTCTCCAATATTTGACACTCACAACCTAAAATCTAATACACAATTATATAGATTGAAGGATTGTGTTGTGTGATGGAAGCCTATATCTCCTCTTTATTTATAGGCTCCAATCCCTCCTCAATTTTCCTATCCCACCGATGTGGGACTTTGAAGTAACACTCAACAAATCTCCCCTTAATTCAAAGTCCTACATCATTTGCGATTTATGCAGCGATACTCCCATCCTGCAGAATCTTCTGTCCAGCAGTACTCTTATCTTCAGAAGAGATCATCTTCATAAGTGATCACATTTGCGGAAGAAGCTTCCTTCGATTTGCCCTTCTTCTCCTTTAGGATCTGCAAGTCCTCCTTGAGTTCTGGACAACCGTTCTTCGTGTGACCCAACTTTTCACAGTAATAGCACCTAACAGTGCTCATGTCTCTCAGATGCGATCTTCTCCCAAGTTGGTCACTCTTCTTC